ATTCTTTGAAAATTCCTTCTATGCTCCTAGGTATTAAATAAACTAACTAAGTGCATAGTTATGATGAGCATGAGTGCCTCTACCAAAATTGTGAATTTTATGGCCCCAGGGCCAAGAGTTCTGGTGTTAGGGGGGGGGGGCTCTAGTGATTATAAAGTGAAAATACACAAATTCTTTGAAAATCTCCTTCTATGCTTCTAGGTATTAAATAAACTAACTAAGTACATAGTTATGATGAACAAGAGTGCCTCTACCAAAATTGTGAATAATTTTATGGTCCCTGGGTCAAGGCTTCTGGTGTTTGGGGGGGGGGGGGGGGCTCTATAGATTATATTGTAAAAATACATGAATTCTTTGAAAATCTTCTTCTCTGCTCCTAGGTATTAAATAAACTAACGAAGTGCATAGTTAAGATGAGCAAGAGTGCTTTTACCAAAATTGTGAATTTTATGGTCCCAGGGTCAGGGGTTCTGGTGTTAGGGTGGGGCTCTATTGATTATATAGTAAAAATACATAAATTCTTTGAAATCTTCTTCTCTGCTCCTAGGTATTAAATAAACTAACTAAGTACATAGTTATGATGAGCAAGAGTGCCTCTACCAAAATGTGAATTTTATGGTCCCAGGGTCAGGGGTTATGGTGTGTGGGGGTGGGGGGGGGGGGGCTCTATTGATTATATAGTGAATATACATTAAATCTTTGAAAATTTTCTTCTCTGTCTCTGGGTATGAAGCAGATGAACTACCTAAATAGTTATGATGAGCAAGGGCCCTAATCTTGCAAAATTTTGAATTTCAAGGCCCCAGGGTCAGGGGTGGATGTGGGGCTCTACTTATATACTGAAAATGAATTAATTGTTTGAAATCTGCTCCTTTGTATTTATAAAACATTTATTTATTTTTTATAGGCAATTTTAACGGTGCCTTTTTAAAATTTGTGCAATGTGTGGACCTAGGGTCAGGGGTTTATTTCACAGTGTTAGGGGCATTACTGATTATTGCTGAATATTACTGATTAGTTGGAATGCATTTTTTTTCCCCTACCTTGCGTATGGGTATTCAGTACCCCTGCGAGGTGATCATGAATAATTCATGAATTACCTTGAATTTTTCATGAATTTTATTCATGAAATGTTCATGAAACGTTCATGAAGATCCTATGAACTTATTATTGGGCATATTTAAATCAATAAACCAAGCTAAGCAACTGCTAAGTGTATTGTTATGATGATCAATGGTGCCTCTTTCAAAATTGTGAATGCCATATAGCATCTGGCTTAAAACATGAATCAAATTCAATAACTGGAAAGTTGTTACAGAGGAATTGTCAGGTGACCTATAAGGCCCGTGGGCCTCTTGTTTCTTTTAATTGTAATTTATTGTCTATCAAATCATTTAGTTACTGGATGACCAGTCTTTTATTTTTAAAATGAGTGTGATATTAAGTTATCAAGATTAATTTGATTTGCATTAATATGATTTTTAACAATCAAGTTGTAGAGTCACATGACACACAAAGATGAGAGATATTTCCAATTAATTTTTTTTTTACAACGAAATAAAAGCAATGTTATTACAAAGTATTGATGGTTTATTTGAGGTTGCACTTTAATTTCATTCATTAATATATATATATATATATATATATATATATATATATATATATATATATATATATATATATATATATGAGAAATTTTATTTGCACTCTACATGTTTATAAGAAAATTGTGAGCACCTATTAGATCCATGAAATATTTCTGATTTGGCAACTTTTCTGAAAAGCCCCATCAAGCATGGCTGAAAAATTGTCAACTCGGCATTAAACAATATTCAATCAATCAATCAATCAATCAATCTCTGAAAAGCCCAAATGGGGGTATATGTACATAGTTAAAATTTGATTTAAATCATTTTATGACCAATTAAATCTTCATTTCCAGCAAATATAATGATTAACATGATTAATTGATGTTAACTAATTTCTTTTTTTTTCAGGTGTTGCTGTGTTGTTTTGCTATCTCAATCAGTTATTTTTCTTTTCCTCTGCCATTTGCTTGAATGAGATCAGGACAAAAGAAAAGAGACATTATTATTTGTGTTGTTTAAAGTTAAACCAGGATGAGACAGAAGGCAATAAGAAAAACTGTTGTTATTCTGGAAGCATCCCTAAGAAAGAGAAGATGTAGAGAGTCTTTTGGAAAAATATCCAAAACAAATACCCATCAAATTGTTATCTCATAGTGCAGGAAAATGTGCTGTATGTATTTTATTTGTTATATATTTAAGTCTGTCTATTTTTGGGGCCACAAATTTTAAGCAAGGTTTGCATTTATTTAATTTGGTTGCTGAGGATTCCTATTTTTATAAGTACAGCAAATGGGAGGATCAGTTTTTCACGGTAGAACCAGTTGTAATGCTGTGTATAAAACAAGAAGAGAAATATTCTCTTAAGTTTACTCAGAACAGTATAACAGATGTTTTAGCCAAAGCTAAGAAATTATCAGGTATAGATGAAAAGTTTGAAATCAACTGGTTAAAACATTATGAAAAATCTCTTTTATATAGTAATAGATCAGAGGCAGAATTTGTGAATGGTCTGCATTCATTTATAAGAGATGCAAGTACTTTTTCAAACGATATATTTTTTGATGCAAGTGGAACTAGAATTCTGTCATCTAAATTTTATCTAAAATCCAATAACTTGAAAACTAGTGAATCTCAAGGATCATTGATGCTTGAACTACGAGCAATATCAGAGGAAGCAAAAATCTCCTGTTTTTTCTACAATGCAGCTTTCATTTTTTACGAACAGTTTGTTCAGATACTACCAAGTACCTTACAAACAGTGGGTATAGCCATCATTGCAATGTTGGTTGTAACATCCTTGCTGATGCCAAAACCTTTGATTGTTAGCATTGTAGCCCTAAATTTAATTAGCATAATTGTTGGTGTGGTTGGTTTTATGTACTTCTGGGATCTTACATTGAGTTCGATCACAATGATCCATCTTGTTATGAGTGTTGGATTTTCAGTGGATTTCAGTGTACATGTTTCTCATGCATTTTTGTCTGTCCGACAAGAAAAGAACATAATTAAAAGTGCTCTTGATAAGGTTGGAGGACCTGTAATTAATGCTGCCCTGTCTTCTCTGATTGGAATCTCAATGCTAGCTTTTTCCAGTAGCTATGTGTTTGTCTCTTTTGGAAAAGTAATGTTTCTTGTTATCATTATAGGATTACTTCATGCAGTTTTTTTCCTTCCCTTTATTTTATATATGGTGACCAGTTTAGGGAGGAAGACACAACATTCTTCAAGTAATATAAAAGAAGAAATGGAATCTGTAGAACTGAAAAAAAAATGAAATATTTAATGTAAAATTCAGGAGAAACTTGTAAGGTTAACATGCTCATCCTGATGGTTTACTCGTAAATGTTCACGACTACAATAGCATTTACTCAGAGAAATGTTGAGTATTTTTATTCTGTACAGAATAAAACTGAATTTCTAATGGCACGTGCCATTAGAAATTCAGTTTAATTCATTTATCATATCTTGATTAAATACATGTTTTTGATACAGTGAAATAAAACAATGTATTTAGGCTAAATTCAGCCATGTAAATGACATCACAACGTAACTTTCTAAATGGCCCTTACAGTTTTCTTTTCATACAACAGAAAGTCTGATCATTTTACCAACTGCATGTCATGAAAAACCTGAGTGTCAATTTAGGTTGTATTTTCCCTTAGAACTCAAGATCCATCAGCCTCATGGTTATTATTGTTGTCATCTAAGGATAAAGGAAAGCAAATTTAAATATGTGTAATTCTTGAATGAAACTAACAGGCTTTTCTGTCTGTCAGTCCATTTAGTTTCCATTAATTTTCTTTGCAGAGGTTGCACATACTGAATTTACAAATTTTAACACCCGTATCACACAGTGCAGAATCGGTGTATTTACTACTAAGTATATGATAAACAAATTTATTATACTTCTGTCAAAATGTTTCCTATATAAAGTTAAGAAGGTAAAATAGCTATCTCAGATAGTCCAAGCATAGCAAAGCTATACCCCGTTGTATAGTTTTTGCTATCTGCCCTCGGAAAATTTTCATGCAATATTTGCCACCAATTTTGATTTCCAGCGATAAATCTATTGACTGATGACTCATAATGACTTCAGTAGCATTGTGACGTCATCATGATGTCGGATTATTCTTGTAGTTTTATCTTACTAAAAAAAATTCAAACCTAAAAAATTATATTATACATCAGTATAATAAAACATTTATCCACTGGTTGTGAGTGGGATAGCTCTTTCATCAAACCCTTGACAGGAACTATTCCCCTCGGGCAAGCTCTAGCCGGGAATAGTTCCCTGTCGCGGGTTTGATAAAAAAGCTATCCCACTCACAACCATTGGATAAGTGTATGATATTATATAAGAAGATTATTTTCGTAATTTTCATTGGCTGAAAGAACGTGGTACCGGTAATCCTCCTTTTGTGATGTCAGTTATCAAAAACACTTGAGTGCCAGAAAGAAAATCAAGTCACCCTCTTAATGATATTTTCCTATTCCTTATAGTTTTTAGGTCACCTGAGTAAACTCAGGTGACCTATTGCTATCCGTTTTCGTCCGTCGTCGTCCGTCGTCCGTCGTGTGTCGTGTGTTGTGTGTCGTGTGTCGTGTGTTAACATTTGAACATTTTCAGCTTCTTCTCTGCAACCACTGAACCAATTTCAACCAAATTTGGCACAAAGCATCTATGGGTGAAGGGGAACAAAAATTGTGAATTTCATGATCCCTGCCCCCCTGGGGCCTGAGGGGTGGGGCCAAAACCACTAAAATTAATGCAATCTTTAAAAATCTTCTTCTTTACTCCTGGACATCAAGCAGTCAAAATATTTGCATGATTGTAATCAGCATTGAGTCCTCTACCAAAATTGTGAAATTCATGGCCCTGGGGTCAGGGGTTCTAGTGCTAGGGCGGGGCTAAATAAGTATATAGTGAAAATGCATTATTTCTTTGAAAATCTTCTTCTCTGCTCCTGGGTATTAAATAAACCAACTAAGTACACAGTTATGATGAGCAAGAGTGCCTCTACCAATTTTGTGAATTTTATGGCCCCAGGGTCAGGGGTTCTGGTGTTAGGGTGGGGCTCTATTGATTATATAGTAAAAATACATGATTTCTTTGAAAATCTTCTTCTCTGCCCCTGGGTATTAAATAAACCAAGTAAGTAAATAGTTATGATGAGCAAGAGTGCCTCTACCAAAATTTTGAATTTTATGGCCCCAGGGTCAAGGGTTCAGGTGTTGGGGGGGGGGCTCTATTGATTATTTAGTGAAATTACATGAATTCTTTGAAAATCTTCTTCTCTGCTTCTAGGTATTAAATAAACTAACTAAGTGCATAGTTATGATCGGCAGGAGTGCCTCTACAAAAATTGTGAATTTTATGGCCCCAGCATCAATTGTTCTGGGGGGGGGGACTTTATTGTTTATAAAGTGAAAATACATGAATTCTTTGAAAATCTTCTTCTCTGCTCCTAGGTATTAAATAAACTAACTAAGTACATAGTTATGATAAGCAAGTGTTCCTCAACCCAGATTGTGAATTTTATGGCCCCAGGGTCAAGGGTTCTGGTGTGGGGGGAGGGGGGGTGCTCTATTGATTATAGTGAAAATATGTGAATTCCTTGAAAATCTTCTTCTCTGCTCTTAGGTATTATATAAACTAACTAAGTGCATAGTTATGATGAGCAAGTGTGCCTCAACCAAAATTGTGAATTAATGGCCCCAGGGTCAAGGGTTCTGGTGTTGGGGGGGGGGGGGGGGGAAGGCTCTATTGATTATATAGTGAAATTACATGAATTCTTTGAAAATCTCCTTCTCTGCTCCTAGGTATTAAATAAATTAACTAAGTGCATAGTGATAATGAGCAAGAGTGCCTCAACCAAAATTGAGAATTTTATGGCCCCAGGTACAAGGGTTCTGGTGTTGGGGGGGGGGGGGGGGCTCTATTGATCATATGGTGAAAATACATGAATTCTTTGAAAATCTCCTTCTCTGCTCCTAGGTATTAAATAAACTAAGTGCATAGTTATGATGAGCAAGAGTGCCTCTACAAAAATTGTGAATTTTATGGCCCCAGCGTCAATGGTTCTGAGGGGGGGGGGGGGGGCTTTATTGATTATAAAGTGAAAATACATGAATTCTTTGAAAATCATCTTCTCTGCTGCTAGGTATTAAATAAACTAAGTAAGTGCATAGTTATGATGAGCAAGAATGCCTCTTCTAAAATTATGAATTTCATTGCCCCAGGGTCTGGGGTTCTGGTGTTAGGGTGGGGCTCTATTGATTATATAGTGAAAATACATTAAATCTTTGAAAATTTTCTTCTCTGTCTCTGGGTATGAAGCAGATGAACTACCTATATAGTTATGATGAGCAAGGACCCTAATCTTGCAGAATTATGAATTTCAAGGCCCCAGTGGGGGGGGGGGGGGCTCTACTTATATACTGAAAATGAATTAATTGTTTGAAATCTGGTCCTTAATTGTATTTAGAAAACATTTATTTACTTTTTGATAGGCAATTTTAAGGGTGCCTTTTAAAAATTTGTGCAACCTAGGGTCAGGGGTTTATGTCAGAGTGTTAGGGGCACTACTGATTATTGATGAATATTACTGATTAGTTGGAGTGCATTTTTGTTCCCCTACCCTGCGTATGGGTATTCAGTAACCAAGCTAAGCAACTGCTAAGTTTATTGTTATGATGATCAATGGTGCCCTTTCAAAATTGGGAATGCCATATAGCATCTGGCTTAAAACATGAATCAAATTCAATACACTGTAACTGGAAAGTTGTTGCATAATGCTCAGGTGACCTATAAGGCCCGTGGGCCTCTTGTTGATGTATGTATTTAAGCATAACTGTCCAATGTTGTGATCAATTTGACGAGGGTTTGATGGGCTGTATTGTTTGCCCTGTTTCCAAATTAAATCAATAAATTAAACAATGGTACTAAAATTTAGAAAATGATACAATTTGTGTGAACAGCATAGACTTGGATGAGCATTTTAGCCTACGGAACACGTTTTATCATATAAAGAGGTAGATGGACATGTCTCTGTTTTGTTCATTATTGCCTGCCTATTTGTAATTGAAATCTCAGTTTTGTCAAATATCTTCTTCGAAGTCTCAAAATTTTGTGAAATCGTTTCGGAAAGGGTTTGTATAGGGAAACGATATTTTCAAACTGAGACATTGTAAAAATGGTGAAGAATGTCTATCTTTTACTTTTAAAGCTTACCGGTAATTTAATGTGTGTTTGTTTCAGTTAATTGTATGTTGTTAATTTGAATTTAATAAATCTTGCATTTATGCTTTGTATTCTGCATTTTGTTTAAATTTTTTGGTCACTCAAAAGACTGGTGACCTATCGTTTTCTGCGGTTTTTAGCTCACCTGATCCAAAGGCTCAAGTGAGCTTTTCTGATCAAAATTGTCTGCCTTCGGCGTCATAGTCATTGTAAATTTTTCACATTTTCATCTTCTCCTCCAGAACCACTGGACCATTTTCAACTTGCTACAAAGTATCCTTGGGTAAAATATATTCAAGTTTTTCAATGAAGAACTACGCCCTTTTCTAAGGGGAGATAATTATACCCCCCACAAACGAAGTTTGGGGGGAGGTATATAGGAATCACCTTTTCCGTCTGTTTGTCCGTCCGTCCGTCTGTCTGTGCAAACGTGTCTGGTCCATATCTTTCTAAAGGAAGGACATTAGAATCTACTACTCCACACAAAGATTGCCCATGATCTAAGAATGTGTCATGACCTTGACCCAAGGTCATTTAGGGAACTTCAAGGTCACTGGGAAAAAAATTCACAATTTGTGTCCGGTCCATATCTTTCTTATGGATAAACTTGGTAGGTTCTCATTTCACACAAAGATTGCCCATGACCTAAGGATGTGTCATGACCTTGACCCAAGGTCATTTGGGAAACTTCAAGGTCACTGGAAGAGAAATTTCATAATTTGTGTCCAGTCCATATCTTTCTTATGGATAAACTTGGTAGGTTCTCATTTCACACAAAGATTACCCATGACCTAAGGGTGTGTCGTGACCTTGACCCAAGGTCATTTGGGCAACTTCAAGGTCACTAGAAAAAATTTCATAATTTGTGTCCGGTCCATATCTTTCTTATGGATAAACTTGGTAGGTTCTCATTTCACACAGATTGCCAATGACCCAAGGATGTGTCATGACCTTGACCCAAGGTCATTTGGGAAACTTCAAGGTCACTGGAAGAAAAATTCATAATTTGTGTCCAGTCCATATCTTTCTTATAGATAAACTTGGTAGGTTGTCATTTCACAAAAAGATTGCCCATGACCTAAGGGTGTGTCATGACCTTGACCCAAGGTCATTTGGGGAAGTCCAAGGTCACTGGAAGAAAAATTTCATAATTTGTGTCCGGTCTATATCTTTCTTATGGATAAACTTGGTAGGTTCTCATTTCACACAAAGATTGCCCATGACCTAAGGGTGTGTCATGACTTTGATCCAAGGTCATTTGGGGAAGTTCAAGGTCACTGAAAGTAAAATTTCGTAATTCGTGTCCGGTCCGCATCTTTCATATGAATAAACTTGGTAGGTCCTCATTTCAAGTTTTTCAGTGAAGAACCACGCCCTTTTCCAAGGGGAGATAATTATACCACACCCCCCCCCACACCCCCGCAAACGAAGTTTGGGGGGTATATAGGAATCACCTTCTCCGTCTGTCTGTGCAAATGTGTCCGGTCCATATCTTTCTTAAGGAAGGACATTAGAATCTACTACTCCACACAAAGATTGCCCATGATCTAAGAATGTGTCATGACCTTGACCCAAGGTCATTTGGGGAACTTCAAGGTCACGAAGAAAAATTCATAATTTGTGTCTGGTCCATATCTTTCTTATGGATAAACTTGGTAGGTTCTCATTTCACACAAAGATTGCCCATGACCTAAGGATGTGTCATGACCTTGTCCCAAGGTCATTTGGGAAACTTCAAGGTCACTGGAAGAGAAATTTCATAATTTGTGTCCAGTCCATATCTTTCTTATGGATAAACTTGGTAGGTTCTCATTTCACACAAAGATTAACCATGACCTAAGGATGTGTCATGACCTTGACCCAAGGTCATTTGGTCAAGGTCACTGGAAGTAAAATTTCATAATTTGTGTCCGGTCCATATCTTTCTTATGGATAAACTTGGTAGGTTCTCATTTCACACAAAGATTGCCCATGACCTAAGGGTGTGTCATGACCTTGACCCAAGGTCATTTGGTCAAGGTCAAGGTCACTG